CGAGGTCATTTTCTAGAACATCATAAATGATATCCTGGCAGTTTTCACCATGAATTTCGGGGATATTCATATAAGGCAAATTTTATCTTCTCGTATAGTTCTCAAGGGCGACAAGATTCTCCTGGTCTTAATTCTTTCAGGGCCGTTGTAAGCTTTTCGTTCTCGGCTTGGAGCTTTTTCAGATTGACCCTTAGAATTTCCGCAGCTTGCTCGTCCATCATTTTTGGAGAGAGCGAATCGTTGAGGGCTAACCTTTGTACTCTTACTGTAAGTCTCCGATGCTTGCCCACTCGTACTTCACAGATTCAGTTGTCTAATTCATTCCATGTTGATTTGACGTTACTTATTTCATGTTTGAATTCGCACGTAAGTTCAGCAATCTGTGTGTGTGTAGATTGGAGAAATTGTCTTCCATACGTGATTCTATGGCGATTAATTTATCAAGGAGTATTTCCATGGAGATAAGCGAGTCGGTTTCTTGGTTTCCTTCCATTTTCTCGCTCTTCTGCTTGTTTTGTTTCGGCGTTGGCTTGTCGGAGGAGCTTGAACTCGTTCCAAGTGCATTACAATGAGTACAAGTAGCAAACGTCAAATATTTTATGGATGCTAAAAGGTCATCACTAATTGCATTTGAGCTAGACTAAATGGCCAGTCGTGGCTCTTCTCAACTACGGAATCAGGGAGCGGGAGACCACGTCCGTCCGCCGTGATTCCTCATCTGCATCTCCTGCTGACTGATAGTTACATTTTCTGATCTTGGCGAGAGCGTATTTGATCTTTGTGTTGTATCCGCAGTGGATGCTTGTTGAGTGTCCTCGATTTTCTTCCCGGAATTGCAACAGATGATTCTCCGAAATTCTTTTCTGAACAAGGGATTCATTCCTGCGTAGATGAAAGGATTAATGGTATTGGACAAATTCACGAAGAAAGTGCATAGCAGTTGAACATTTCGTGGCATCGTTCCAATGACGCTGAAGCGCGTTAGGATGGTGATGATCCACGAGGGTATCCAGCACAACATGAAGGCAAAAACCACAGCAAACAAAGATCTGCTTAAACGAATCTCGTGCCTGGAGAATGACGTTTCTCCGTCTTGGCGTTGAAGAGCACGCACCGATGCCGCGTTGTGTTCCTGAATCTTTTTCAACACTTTCCTGTAGCTGAATATCGTTATAGCAAGTGGAAGGACAACGAAGAGTCCAATCACGACAAAGTAATGGATAATCCTCGCAGAGTTGTTTAAATGCTCGTTTAAACATGCTGCATATCCAGGGTTGAAGTAAAAACCCTGTAAGCCTGCGAGACGCGTAATCCAAATGTAACCGGTTACAAAAGCCCACGCAGAAGCAAGCGCTATGAGTGATTTCCATTTCGAGAAGAACCTTTTATACTGTTGCTCTGACTTGCACATTCTCACATACCTGTTTGCAGCTGTAAAACCCATGGTTACAGGCGAAATGTACACAACAAACAGGCTGAAGAAAGCGTGCATTTGGCAAAGGGTTTGGCCAAATGGCCATCTGCCTGAGATGAGTACTCCGGCGGCCAGGGGCATCACAAAGATGGCGGACAGCAAATCACTGATTGCCAATGCGACAATGTAAACATTTGTCGTCGTACGGAGCCTGGTGTTTCTGTAGACAGAGATACAGACTAGCGTGTTGCCCAGTAGAGAAACAATATTTAGCAAAATTATGAAGCTCGCTTCTAAGACTGTCACAAACAGGCTCCTTGAACTAAGCTCGCCGTCCATCAGCTCTGAAATGTCAAGAGGATAAAAATGATCTTCTCACTTCTTGTTAGTTGCTTTAATGATATCAGAAACTTGAAAGAAGCAA